TTAACTTGTTGCTGTTTTTACAGAGAGTTATTGATACGTGAGAGTGGCGTTGGTATAACACACACACATGCACACATACTCATATCTAGGCTCAAACTACATAGACCTTAGGTGTGAGTCTAAGCTTCATTCTGTTAGGTCTGGAACCTTCTGGTCACTTACTTGACCTCCCTGGGTTTGGTTCTCTTGTCCATAGAGCAGGCCCTGAGACTAGTTACTTTACAGGCCCATGGTTACTTCATGGAATGTTAGGATGCCGTTTTCAAGGATTCAGGGGTCTGGATTTGCATCCAACTCTTCTACATGTCAATGGTTTGACTTTTGAGAAGTTGTTCACTTTCTGTCTTATTTTCCTCAGTTATTTGAAGATGTGGTGGTGTAAGGGCTGAATTCTGTCCTGACTGCTTCATTTGTGCTGTAGCTCTAATGCCTAGTAGCTCAAAATGTGCTGCATTCAGAAAATGCCAGATTTCCAGGGTAGTGGTGTTAAAATAAATGTGGGCTTTGATCCAACATGACTATCCTTATAAGAAGAGATTGGGATACTCACAGGTTCAGAAGGAAGATGGTGTGAAGCCAGAGGGAGGAGGCAGCTATCTGCAAGCCATGGACAAAGACGTCCGAATTAACCAGCTCTTTTTTAAACCTTATCTGGGACTCCCAGCCTTTAGAACTGTGAGGCAATGTTGTCCTGTCTGCATTAGTTACTTTTGTTATTGCTGTGACAAAACACCTTAAAAGGTACCTTCAGGAAGAAAAGATTTATTTTGGCTCCCAGTTGGAGGGTTCAGTTTATTTTGGTGGCAAAGTCAAGGAGGCAAGGGATTAAGGCAGCTGGTCATTTTTCATCCACAATTGAGTAGCACAGATGAATGCTGGTACTCAGCTCACTTTCTCTTTTTATTCAATCCAGGACCCTAGCCCAGAAAATGGTACTATCCATAATTAGTGTGGGTCTTCCAACTCTGGTAACATAATCTAGATAAACTCTCTTGGATATGCCTAGAGTTTTATTCCCATGGTGATTCTAAGTCCTATCAAGTTGACAGTCATAATTAATCTTTACACTACCTTTTATCTCTTAGACTGAGTTATTTCTTTTGAAGATTTATTTACTTTTATGTCTATGAGTATTTTGCCTGCATAGATATATGTGCACCATGTTGTACAGAGCCTGGGGAGGGAAGAAGAGAGTGTTGAATATTCCAAAACTTGCAGGTTGTGAGCTGCCATGTAGGTGCTGGGAACTGAACTCTAGTCCTCTGCCAGAGCACCATGTGTTTTTTTAAAATTGTAAATAGATATTTTATAGTATATGTTCTGATAGTAGTCTCCCCTCTCCCATCTTCTTCCAGATCCTCCCCACTTCCCCTCCCACCCAAATCCATACTTTTTCTTCATTAGAATACAAAAAGACATCTAAAAAATAATAACAATAAAATAAAATAAACAAACCAGAATAGGCCAAAGGAGACAAACAAAATAAAAAGAGCCAAAGAAAAATCTGAAGAAACACATAGAGACACACATATTTGCACATACAGATATCCCATAAAAACACAAAATCAGAAACTATAATATATATGCAATGAATCTGTAAGGAACAAAAAGCCCCAACAAAGCACTATGAGACAGAGAACCTCCAAAAAGTTTTTTTTGTTTGTGGATTTTTTGTTTTGTTTTGCTTTGTTTTTGGTGTGTGTGGGTGGGGGTGGGGTGGATGTGGGTGGGGGTGAGGGTAGGGGTGTTGGCCATCTGCTTCCAGACACGGGCCCTAGCCTTAAGAGTGGTTTGTATACCCAGTGCTCTTAACTTGTAAGCTGCCTCTCCAGCCAGCCCAGTCTGGGATAATTTGGAGTCACCACAATAGACACCTTTTCTCAAAAAGCCACCATGCCTGATGCACTGTCATAATTACTCTCACATCTTTGCCTTGCTTTTCCCCTCTCTCTCCCTCTCTATCCCCTCTTATCTCTCTGTCCCCCCTTTCCCTTTCTTCTTTTCCTGCTCTCCCACTTCTATGTACTCCTTCATTCTCTCCTGGCTGTCCATATGTTCTATTCTATCCTTGGAGACAGTATCATCACAGTAGAAAAGTAATTTTTCTAGGATTGTGCTTCATTCTCTCATTGCACAAGATGGTGAGGGGAATTTTTCCTTAAAGGTCCTACTCAGTGCTGTTTGGAGCTGCATCATTCCTTACACTCCAGACTTCAGCCTGGTGAAGTGTCACTGCCTCACTATAAACCCAGCTCCATCTCAGTGACACAAAAACACCCGAAGGGCCCCTGCCTGGTGACTCCTCTTGAGATATTTTCTTAGCTAAATGTACTGTGGTTCCCTAGTTTCTGTCTTCTCAGCTCTCTCAGCCGTGTTCACTGTTGTTGATCTTTATGGGGGTATTCACCCCTATACTCTCACAGTACTACTAAAATCCCAGTGGTGACATCAGCCCTTGGGTATATGGGTTGCCCGTGGGAGGCAGCTCCATCTGGAAGCTAAGTAGAGCAACATAATCATGTTCTTTTTCTTCCTTCAAACCTGTCTGTATTCCTGCAGGTAGAGAGTGCCAATCAGGATACTTACAAATTGACACTTTTCTAAAGTAGCTTGATATTTTAAGATTCTTATGATTTCAAAGAGCTGGGAGCTGGGTGTGAAATTGGCTAGGAAACTAGCTCAACTGGAGACAGAAAACAGGAGGAAACATATGTGCCTGAATCCTGTGTGCCTGGAAAGTCTTGGCTGTGCCCTGAAGATATAGTTTTGGGCCCTCCACCTGTTAATTCCTGGAGTTCTTCTCAGTCACAAAGAAAGACCATCCTTGGCAAGCCAAAGTTGACTTCTACAAGTTTGATTATATACCACCTGAGTGCTTCTTTTACCCACCTTGGTATTCTTTGGGTTTTCCCATTGAACAACACTTTATGATAATCACTGAGCCAAGTGGGCCATAGCGCAAGTGTGGCCCTGAAAGACATCGCTAATGTCAAGGCAGTGTAGGATAGATGCCTATGTGCTTTTGCCTCTTCTTCCCCTTGTTCTATGCTTGCCATAGCATCATTCAGCTGGCATTGCTCATGTGTACCTCTCCTTGATCAACTATACATGATAGATTTCATACTGGATGATGGGATAGTCACAGTGTTTGGGGGTGCTTTCATTTTGCAATGTGTCCAGAATGTGTATCTTTGGGATCAGGAAGAATCAGTGCTGGTGGCTGCTAGAGAGTAGAAAATGGTACATTTCTAGAGTCTTGCCCATGTTTTTTGGGAAATTTCAACTTTTCTGCAGAGCACCTGGGCCCCTGTATATCCTAACCCCTTGAAGAGCTAGGTCATTCTCCCAAAGCCATAGTCTGCTTTTTCTAGAGTCCACTTAGTGATTCCAAAGGGATTTTGCAAGGATGTGAAGTCACTTACTTAGGAATGTTCTTAGTTTACATAAGGCCAAGACCAACATTTCTCTGTGTCACATGGTAGTGGGGGTGATAGGATACTTGAACCCATGGCTTCTATTCCTTGCCCAAGGTACTTCCCTGGAAAAGAGCCACTTCTGCTAGTTCTCACCTTGAGGCTGCCTCCCCCATATCACAGATGGTGCCCTTCCAGGGAGCCTCCCTCTTCCTCAGGCTGCTGAGAAGGCAGGACCCTCCCTCTTTCTTTTGCTGGTGGGAAGGAGGGACCCTCACTCCTCCTCCAGCTGATGAATAGGCCCCATTTAGCCATAAAGGCAGTATTCTTGTGGCTTGTGCTAGGTGGGAGGCTGAGCCTTGTAAACCATGCTGGCTATAATAGGAAAAGCCCTTGGAGGAAAACTGTAGGCATTTGTATGCAGCCAGTCTGATGGGGTGAAATAAACACAGTCCCGATTAAACTACACATAGCCAGCACATTTCTGGGGAGACAGACCACAGCAGAATGCTGATCTTTCTCAGTCTTTTTTAGACACCTGCTTTCTTACTACTGCCCACCAGGTGGTGTTAACTGTCAGGGGGAGGCCTGTGTTCCGATCTATTTATTGATAGAAGCTGTTTTCATTTGTAATCTGTGGGACTCTTGGAGAATGCCCCTTTTCTCTGAGCTCCAGTTATTTCATCTCTCAACAGAGCCTGTTGATATGTGCATATAGATTTTTAGAGTTACAATAAAGGAATGTAAAATATATCTGACAGAATCCTGCATTTGCCAAGCCTACATCATTGGGCAGGCGCTCTACCTGTCCAGCCATTGTACAATGGTGATGGTTGTCTCTTTAACTTGGATGGATATGATAACATGGATATCATGAAGTATAAGGTCTAGGACCTGGCCTATTGTTGTCTGCAATAAATGAAAGGCACTGTAAAATCATAATAGGATGACAGGAAATCTGAAGAATTGAGCAGAAAATTATATTACTCTGGGCAAGTCACTGTATTCTTTGGGAACTAAGTCACATAGGACTAAGGGGCTATTGCAGAATAGTGAAGAAAGGTACCACAGGGCAGGTAGCAGGGCATTCATTGGAGAAATAAAGTAGGGGTGCTGCAAGTGGCTACCAGGATGTTATTTACTAGTGGTACCTACTTTATCATAGTCTTCAGTAACTTATAACTTGTTATGTATCTACTGAATTGGTGGTATTTATCTGCAAAAATAAGTCCTGCCTCCAGTACAGCTCCTAAAAGGAGGAACGAAGAATTAGAATAGGCCTATGGACATGGTCAAATACAGCACTCTTTAAACAGTTCAAACTGAGCACTGAGCCTTGCACTGTACTGTTAAGTGTGCTTCATATTTTACTGGCACACAGCCCTCTGTGGCTTGGGGAATGTTGGATGCTCAGAAAGTGTCCTTGCTTTTCAGTTGTGTCAAATATTGTTGAGGAACCATAAAGACGGTGATCCATCTTTTGCTTGAGGTCAAGTGACTACCCAGTGTCAAGACATTGGATCTAAGCTCAGCTCTAGAAGGGAAACCCACTGCTCTCTTCAGGCTCCCTGAATTGGTAACAGAAAGGCACTGTCTTGGAACCTCTGTGTGTCTGACCTGTGACCTCAGGGTCTAGAGACAGTGCCAGAGCAGACGCAGCTTGTTCATATCCGGGGCTGCTTGGTGCTACCTTAGTGATTCCTTTAGCCACAAGCGACATTAGGACAAGGGAATAGGTGGTAGTAGTAGGCTACAGAAGTGTGTACATGGGTCAGGGTATACAGGGCAAGTTAGAAGTGCTGAAAAAGCCTTTGTGAATGTAGACTAGGACTGGGTTGGAGGTTGGAGGGTATGTGAGCTACTGGATTATCTCTGTTCTCTCTGATGGGTACTGTCTGATGAATACTACTTGTGCTCAAGGAATCAGACTCAGTCATATGAAGCTCAGATTTCCTGGTAGCTGAGGGAACTTTGAGAAAAGATGATGGTCAAAGTCTATAGGAGGATGGCCATGGAAGTCTAGGTGCAAGGTGAGGACTCAGTAAGTGTTGCTTACCCTTACCCTTTCTAGAGTAGGAGTCGGGTAAGATACTGTTTCTCATCCAGCAGTGCTCTGACTAGTGTTTGAGGGAGAATTTCTAACTTCAAGCACAGTTCCTGACTCTGCACATGAGCTCACCTAGGTCACAGCTCTGCCATGCACAGCTGCATCTTTGGGAATATTAGAGTGGAATTGAGAGGGATGAGATCATCACCTCTTTTTACCAGCTTTTCCCTCTTTCCATAAAACCATTTTAATCTACAAGAAAAGAAACGAGAGTCAATAAAATGGAGAATTAGACACGTGGTAATTCCTGAGATTTAAGAAGTTGAAATGAGGTCAGCACATCCTTAAAGTATATAGGCTGATTTAATTCTGTAGTTTTTTCTATTATCCAATGTCTCTCTGTAGCTGTTGTTCCTTTCTCATTGGCATTGAGAAAATTCAAAGTTAATAGAGCATTATGCAGTCTATTTCTGGGGGGGGGGGGTTTGTTATCCCTTTCTGTTTATTTAGCATATCCTTTAGAGTTCTATTTGATCTTTCTATAACTGCTTGACCTGTAGGATTATGTGGTATACCTGTAATATGCTTTATATTGTAATAAGCAAAAAACTGTTTCATTTTAACAGAGACATATGATGGAGCACTGTTAGTTTTGATTTGTGCAGGTATCCCCATGATGGCCATAACCTCTAGCAAATGAGTGATTACAGAATCAGCTTTTTCAGAACTCAAAGCAGTTGCCCATTGAAATCCTGAATAAGTATCAATGGTATGGTGTACATATTTCAATTTTCCAAATTCTGCAAAGTGAAACATGTCCATCTGCCAGATCTCATTCCTCTGAGTACCCTTTGGGTTACATCCTGCTGGTAATGGTGTTTGATTGTAGAAGGAACAAGTAGGACATTTCTTTACTATTTCTTTGGCTTGTTGCCAGGTTATGGAAAAATCCTTTTTTAAACTTTTACTATTGACATGATGTTTTTTATGACATTCTGAGGCCTCTAGCACATTTCCTATCAATAATTTATCAATCTCATCATTGCCTTGTGCTAGAGGGCCTGGCAGACCAGTATGGGATCGAATGTGAGTTATATATAAAGGATGACTCCTTTTCCTGATTGTATCTTGTAATTGAATAAATAGTGAAGTTAATTCTGAAGCATCAGGGATAAATTCTGCAGTCTCAATATGTAATACTACTCTTTCAGCATACTGAGAGTCAGTTACTATGTTGAGAGGTTCTGAAAAATCCATTAATACCAACAGAATAGCATACAATTCTGATTTTTGAACTGAATTATAAGGACTTTGAACCACATTACTTAAATTTTCTGATTTGTAACCTGCCTTTCCTTGTTTGTTGGCATCTGTATAAAATGTACGAACTCCAGATATGGGATTTTCCCGTACAATTCGAGGCAAGATCCAATCAACTCTCTTTATAAGATCAATTCTATCGCTTTTGGGATATTTGCTGTTAATTTCTCCCAAAAATTTACTGCAAGCTCTTTGCCAAGGTTCACTTTCTGTCCATAATTTTTCATTGTCCTCCTTAGTTAAAGGTATGACAATTTCTGCTGGGTCTGTTCCTGCTAATTGACGAAGTCTCAATTTTCCTTTCCAAATCAAGTCAGAGAATTTTTCCACATAAGTTTTTAATTTTTTATTTGGATTATTTAGTAAAAATATCCATTCCAATATAATATCTTCCCTCTGCATTTTTATTCCTGTAGGAGAATGCCTAGAAGGTAAAATAACCAAAATGCAATCCAGCTTTGGATCAATACGATCCACGTGCCCTTTATGTACTTTCTTTTCTACCAAGGCCAATTCTTTCTCAGCTTCAGGTGATAATTCTCTTGGACTATTTAAGTCCTTATCACCTTCTAAGGTTTTGAACAAATTATTCAGTTCATCATTTTTTACGCCAACAATAGTTCGTAGATGAGAAATATCTCCAAATAATCTTTGAAAGTCATTAAGAGTCTCTAGTCGATATCTCCTAATTTGCACCTTTTGGGGTCTAATTTTTTGTAGCTCTATTTTATATCCTAAATAATTAATAGAATCTCCTCTTTGTATCTTTTCAGGAGCAATTTGTAATCCCCAGCAAGGCAAAATTTTCTTTACTTCTTCAAACATTCTTTCTAAAATATCTGCACTTGAGTCAGCTAGTAACATATCATTCATATCCTGTATATAATATAATATAATATAATATAATATAATATAATATAATATAATCCTATTATAAGTTGACCAGGAGTTCAACATTTGCTTTACATATGGGGAATGCATGCCATAAGATACTATTGCCTCCTTAAACCCTCGTAAATCTAACATTTCAATTGAAGTCCAAATATTTTGTGTATTCACTTGATCAGGTAGTTGCTGTACGGTTACCGGATAAATTAAGGGTGATTGTGTGAAAACAGACTTTCTTTCTGTAACCTTATGTTCCAATCGTGAAACAACTTCACTGTTAATTTCTTCTGTCTGAATTTGAATTTCTCTATAATTCATTTCAACAGGTTTAACAGGTTTTTCTAAAACTTTTATTCTGGCACTTAAATTGACTATCTTTTTAAATAGCAAAATAAGGATAAGAAAAGTAATAAAGTGCCTAATTCGATCAATATTAATCTTCTCATATAGTTGTTCCATTCTCAGACTGCCTAAAATTTCAAACAAAGTCCAATTTTCTTCCAATGTACACATAAAACCCATTTTTTTTATGTGGAAAAAAATTTCTCTTTTAAATAGTTCCCTTTAAAATATCTGATATCTTAATTGAGTTACCAAGTCTGTGTAGAATAGTAGAAATCCAAGGGAACTTCAAAACAGCTACCTATTGTCCGAGGTGTGAATCCAGAGAGAGAGAGAGAGAGAGAGAGAGAGAGAGAGAGAGAGAGAGAGAGAGAGAGAGAGAGAGAGAGAGAGAGAGAGAGAGAGAGAGAGAGAGCACGCAAGAAAGCGTAGCCACAAGTTCTGGCTAAAAGCTTAAATCCAACCACGTGTTCTCACTTGAGTCGGGTCGAGCCTTGGCTCTGGCTTCCTTAAGCTCCAACCATGCGCGTTGGCATTTCATTCAAAAGCTGTATGTAGCTACTGCAATTAGCGGTAGCTACAGCAGGGCAGGCCTGAATTCTTTGTAGCACAGGCTTTAAGCAAGTAGCTCCAGCTGTGGTAATGGCTTGTAGCTACGGTCAGTCCGGCTTGAGACCTAAGCCGAGCTTGACCCGAGCTAGGGAGCCGGGCCGCCTAGATGGGAAACTGGACCCGCTACCATGCCAAGCCAAGTGGTTTTTAATGAATTCTTGCCACGTTGGGCACCACGTTTTAGAAGAATGAAGGCTAAGGAATCTGAAGAACACTGGACAAATGAGACAACCGAAGAAAAAGGACAAATCATCTATCACAGGAAACAGAGTAAAACGGACTATTGGTATATCATCTACAAAATTTTATAAGTCTTCCTAAATTTTTGTTTCTGCTCTTCTCTAAAGACATTTAACACTATTGGTCTTCTTGTAGTCCCAGTTCAATTAAAATTTAAAGCTGACTTTGGAGTTGGAGAATGGCTCTCTCCTTCTTTAAACTCAAGCATGTTGTTAAAAGGAAAATTACTAGTTTTAAATACTTTACATTGGATTCAATTGTTTTATATACATATTACATATTGAAATTGATATTGTTAGAAAATGCTATATGTATATTTCTAATTATACTTATACTGTTCATTTAACAATGTAATGCAATTTTCTGATCCTTGAATGTTATTATTACTGACTATTAGGATGTACAGAAATGAAAGTTAGTAGTTAGACATTATAATAGAACTTGTAGTCATATTAGGTATGTTTTCAAGATTGAGCAGATATATTTTAGATAAGTTATCTTCAAATCCTTCAGAGATCTATAGAATATGGCATTTAAAATATTTTAATAACTTAGAAAATTTTTCTTTTTGTTATGAGTATGAGACATTTTGGCTTCTGGCAGTACCAGTCTACTTCAGAGAGAATATGGGCATTGAAGAAACTGCATATGGAGTTAACTTTCATTGTGGCAAAAGTTAGCCACTGGACAACAAAGTATCCTGAATCGACTGCTGACAACAGGACAAAATGGGCAGACAGGACACGAAACAAAGGACTACTGATTCTTGCCAAAACTATTGTGGTTATGGCTTTATCACAAGCCATCTTCTGAGACCAGAACAATAATGGCACCGTCCCTGTAGTGGCCTTCGCAATCCGGAAAAGCTACAGTGCCTTTTTCTTCGAAGGCAGCTGAACAGGCAGTGGGCCGATGGCTTCTGATGTGCAAAGGAACAGCAGCTGAAACAGTTATTCTTGAAGAGTAACTAAACTCAAACCTCTCAATAGTAGACTGGCATTTAATAGAAGGATATGGAGAAGAACGGGATGCTGAGATGAGCCACACACACACACATACATAGTCAAGAGTAATGGACAGCTGAATTAAAAAATATCAACAATGTCCAGAATTTAAAATCCTGAATCATGACGTGACACTAGTAGAATTCAGGTGTTTCTGGTACATGGACTGCTCTCACCCAATGTGAGGTCGAACTATTGACCTTGTGTATATCCTATTTCACAAATGAGTCTGTCAGATATGCTAAGCCTATAGGCTGAAGATGATGCCC